TTTAGCGCACAATATGTGTAAAAGTAGAAGAAATTTTTGTTTTCTCACAAGCACCGGTGTTACCCACTCCAGTAACTCAGTGATTCCTTAAACTTAATTTATGGTCGAAACTTCCTACTGACCTTGGTCTTTCAAACTCTTTTCATCGGCAGAAATGATGACAGGAGGGACATGACGCATACCTGACGAGCTTGAAGCAAATGGTTCTCTGAATTAAGCCTTACGTCTTAACAACTTTCAATCCCTTTCTACTGCTATTCCATACTTCTACGTAGGGCTTTGCGATATACTGTTTCATACATCTTTATCACCTGACAAAACTGCATCCACCTCGAAACCTAAGCCACTAATCCGATTCTAATATGCTTAACATCTAAAAAGGAGCTAATACACCGATCTGTGCCGTTCATGCTGGTGTTTTGCCACAGTGACATGCTTTACTACAATTTATTTCAATAAATTCTGTATGAAAGTTTAATTCAAACAAATGCCTCGTTCTGCTTGAAATTTCTTCAGAAAATACATCATCAGCTTTAAAAGATCATATTATGGTTTTATGCGAAATTTTCATAGGAAAAGGGAGCTGGAATATGCGAGAATTTGGCTATCCGCCGTTCACCGAGGTATAATTCTCATAAGTATGAAACTCAATTGAACGAGATTATGGGCTCGAATCCCGGCCATGGCATTATGCATTGCATTCTTACGATGAGATGGATGGGTAGTACTATGTGGAAAGGAACCGACAGCCGTTATGTTCAAAAAACTCATACTTGCGTATTGGCATCGTGTAGAGAAAATTACTATACCATAAGCTACGTGAAAGGACAGATACTACAAGCTATGGAAGATTGACAACTAAAAGCTGTTAAAAATATTGATTTTGTTTTTTTCTTTTGTGAAGGAATCGGAGCATTTTTGTGAAGAATTTACAGCATCATGCAATTTTTCCCCTGAGCAGAGAGCACCCTTTACGAAATAGACTGAAAATCTAAATTTTTTGTTTAAAATGTAACTTCCAGCCTTCCTCTGAGTATTTCCAATATCGTCTTTATTTCTCCATTTCGTTTTTCTTGTTCTGTACAAATCATTTTAGGGAAAATATAATAACGTTTTATGAATAGATTTTGAAATTTTTCCTGTGAATTTTTTGGAAGTGACAAATATAATCTGGAGTTCTTCCGCGTGAATCTGTCTGGTAGCCAACTTTAGAATTCATAAATATAGAATGGTAATGTTCCCGACAAATGGTAGTGGAGTGTTTTATGCGGAATTCAGCTCAAAATTGGAAAATCCTTTCCTGGATATCGGATTTGCCGCATAAAATGGCTGTTTTACAGTGTCTCTGCCTGAAGGCATGATTCGAAACGTTGGGGAATATGTCTAATAAATTCGATATGCTGTGTCATCCTCTGAACAGTTTTGTTCCAGATGTCAAATGGGCATATTTTTTATATAA